TCTGCTCCTAAACAGGTCTCTCTTTAAAATGAGTTATCGTGACTCAATGAGACTAACTGGATAAATAAAGGGTAATTGAAAAAATACAAGTTTAAAATAGAAATACTCACTTCATGAGGCCATGGTTGTGTGTGTGACGTGCACGTTCCTGAGAGTGTGTGTGTGACGTGCACGTTCCTGAGAGGCCACAGACAGAGCAGCTCCAGCTTTTGTTGAGTTCCTGTAGTTCTGCAGTTTTCAAGCTGAAATGAAAAAGCATCATGAATATGAACTTTACAGTCTATAGTTTCCTGTTCATATAAACACATGGAGGTGTCTCACCTTGTGACTGACAATAAAATATGTAAATTTATGAACTCTAATGAACTTATAATGATGCTCCTACTCTCTGAAGGTGAATCGATGGTACCACACCATCTCTCAGTCGGACAGTCTGATCAGTTTGATCAAAATCCTCCAGTTTAAAATCCTCACTGCTCAGATGAATCCTCCTCAAAGATACTTCCTCCTCTTCCTCACATCTTGTTCTTTGGGAAACCTTCAAAATGGAGATTTGTGTCTACACAAAAACTTTGTACAAAGGAGGTCAAGCTTATTTTCTATTTCCTATATTCTCCCTAGTTTTATTTTTTTATTTCCTAGAACTTAAACAAAACTCCAATTCTGATACATATCTCTTGATAATGAACCAAAGCTACTGAAATAGTGAGTATGCTTGTTAGAAAAATATTCCTGTCATCAGATCTCAGTTACATTGAACATCACATCAGCTGGTGGACATAAATACAGTACAGTAATATTCTATTCACAAAATACTAACAATAAAATGTTCATCTTACTTGTGAAAAGTTATCCCACGAGACCTGACGTCAACAGTCCGTCGATTAGAACAGAAATAAGCTGCGAAGTGCTGAGACATCTGCTTTAACCAAATAAGGACGACCGTTTCAAGATGGCGGCCGAAAATCCTGCGCCGCAGCAGCCAATGAGGCATCTAGTGTTTATATCTATGGCCGCAGCAGCCTATGAGGCATCTAGTGTTTATGTCTATGGCGCACTCCTCCTGGGTTGCAACTTACAGTCATTGCAGATGACGCAGTGAGGTCTCGTGAACATGGCTCCTTTTCCTGATGAGGTGGATGTTTTTACTGGCCCACACTGGCGCATGAAACAACTCGTGGGTCTTTACTGTGAAAAGGTGCGTAGCAAAACGAAATTTGTTAATTTGGACTTTTACAAGCGAAAACCGTGACCGAGGAGTGAACGCTAGCTAGCATGCTAGCTGCTGGCCGATGTTAGCTGTTGTGTTTAGCTGTGAACCAAAGCAGATGAACTGTTTGTTTTCGACATTGTTTGGATGGATGGTCCAGTAGTAGTAGTAGTTATAAGAATTTAGACGCGTTCACCTACAGAGGACGTTAGGTTTTGTGTTCGCTTCCTCAGTAAAATTGTATTAACCATTCGAAACGACGTGGCTTCTAGTATTATGCTTAGGTGTGCAACCTGTTTTCTATGTGTCAACAAACAAAGCTACATATAATGTTGGGTTTGGCGAGCTGGCTGCTTGTTACAGCTCTCTTAATACGTGTCAGATAAACACATGTAGGTCGCTAGATAAGAGAACATTTTCTGTAAAAAATATGTCTTGTTTAAACTGCACAGCTCTTGTTAAATCCTATCAGCTCCCATGATCTAATGATACCAGCAGAATGTAGACATCAAAATATTAAGTTTTAATGTGAACCCAGTAAGGTGTTATCATTGACTGATTCTTCTTCCTTCCCAGCTGTCAAAAACCAACTTCTCCAACAACAATGATTTTCGCTCCTTTCTTCAGTCCCTGTGTGCCACCTTCAAGGAGTTCAAGATGCATGAACAAATTGAGAACGAGTACATCATGGGCTTGTTGCAGCAGCGCTGCTGCACGGCCTACAACGTGCACTCTGACAACAAACTTTCGGAGATGTTGACACTCTTTGAAAAAGGCCTACAAAGTGTCAAGGTGAAAACTACAATTAATGTTTAAACGCAATTTAAGCTGATGTCATGACCATTTAAAAGTTAAGCAGAAGAAAATGTGAGGCTTTATTTAAAGGTAAAACATAAATTCTGCATGGTTCAGTTGATGATGGGGACACAGTATGTTATTAGAGTAACTATTACTTTAAACAAAAACGTGGTGCCAGCAACATCACAACTATTAATTTTCATCTGTACCATCTGTATCAGTGACAGATTGCAATGTAGCTATTGGAAATTTATTCTGTTTATTTCTCAATATTTTTAACACCTGATTTTATGAAGTCACAGAAAATCATTTAATGCCAGTTCTACAAAGTCAGAACTCCGAAAGTTTCTCTGAAGAAAAAGGCTGAAAAGAGATTTTCTATACAGGCAGAGCTGTTTTCTGACGTCTGCTCAGCAGGGGATGAAAAATATTCTTTTTTAAATACATAAGCAAACTACAAAAAGGATTTCCTGATTCAGGCAATTGTGTAAATCTGAATATCATCTCTGCCAGTTGCAAAAACAAAAACATAATTCTTGTTAAAACTGAAATCCAGTTTCCTGTTTAAAACAAAATATGTTTCTGCAGAGATAAATAATGTTGCTCTGATTTATTATAAATATATTTTAATAATAAACTTCCGTGAGTATTATAAAGTTGAACATTAGGTCACAGGAGGTTAAAATCATATTTTCTAGGTTTAAAAACTAAAACATCACAGTGGAACAATAATGGTTTGCTTTATCACATATCTTTGAAAATTTTCACAAAAAATGTACCCGCTGTCAGAAGATGCAAAATGCAAATAGGTGTTTGTGTTTACTTTCAGGTATGCGGTGGTCTAAGAGAATGATTTAAGTCACAAGCTGTGAATTACTAATTGTTCTGTTTCTAGAGTGAATATGAACAACTAAACTATGCCCAGCAGCTGAAGGAGAGACTTGAGGCTTTCACACAAGACTTTTTGCCACACATGAAGGAGGAAGAGGAGGTATAAATGTTCATATTGATGAGACTGAAATGATTTACAGTGCCTTGCGAAAGTATTCGGCCCCCTCGAACTTTTCAACCTTTTCCCATATTTCAGGCTTCAAACATAAAGATATAAAATTTTAATTTTTTGTGAAGAATCAACAAGTGGGACACAATCATGAAGTGGAATGAAATTTATTGGATGTGTCAAACTTTTTTAACAAAATCTGAAAAGTCGTGCTCGCAATATTATTGGGCCCCCTTTACTTTCAGTGCAGCAAACTCACTCCAGAAGTTCAGTGAGGATCTATGAATGATCCAATGTTGTCCCAAATGACTGATGATGAAAAATAGGATCCACCTGTGTGTAATCAAGTCTCTGTATAAATGCACCTGCTCTGTGATAGTCTCAGGGTTCTGTTCAAAGTGCAGAGAGCATCATGAAGAGCAAGGAACACACCAAGCAGGTCCAAGATACTGTTGTGGAGAAGTTTAAAGCTTCAAACATCCCAAGGAGCACTGTGCAAGCAATCATGGAAATGGAAGGAGTATCAGACCACTGTGCAAATCTACCAAGACCCGGCCGTCCCTCTAAACTTTCATCTCAAACAAGGAGAAGACTGATCAGAGATGCAGCCAAGAGGCCCATGATCACTCTGGATGAACTGCAGAGATCTACAGCTGAGGTGGGAGAGTCTGTCCATAGGACAACAATCAGTCGTACACTGCACAAATCTGGCCTTTATGTATGAGTGGCAAGAAGAAAGCCATTTCTCAAAGATATCCATAAAAAGTGTTGTTTAAAGTTTGCCACAAGCACCTGGGAGACACCAAACGTGGAAGAAGGTGCTCTGGTCACATGAAACCAAAATCGAACTGTTTGGCCACAATGCAAAACGATATGTTTGGCGTAAAAGCAACACAGCTCATCACCCTGAACACACCATCCCCACTGTCAAACATGGTGGTGGCAGCATCATGGTTTGGGCCTGCTTTTTGTCAGCAGGGAGAGGGAAGGTGGTCAGAATTGATGGGAAGATGGATGGGGCCAAATACATGACCATTCTGGAAGAAAACCTGTTTGATTCTGCAAGAGACCTGAGACTGGGACGGAGATTTATCTTCCAACAAGACAATGATCCAAAACATAAAGCCAAATCTACAATGGGATGGTTCACAAATAAACTTATTCAAGTGTTGGAATGGCCAAGTCAAAGTCCAGACCTGAATCCAATCGAGAACATGTGGAAAGAGCTGAAGACGGCTGGTCACAAACACTCCATCCAACCTCACTGAGCTCGAGACGTTTTGCAAGAAAGAATGGGCAAGAATTTCAGTGTCTCCATGTGCAAAACTGACAGAGACAAACCCCAAGAGACTTGCAGCTGTAAATGCAGCAAAAGGCGGCGCTACAAAGTATTAACGCAAGGGGGCCGAATAATATTGCATGCCCCACTTTTCAGGTTTTTTATTTGTTAAAAAAGTTTGACCCATCCAATAAATTTCATTCCACTTCACGATTGTGTCCCACTGGTTGTTGATTCTAAACAAAAAATTAAAATTCTATGTCTTTATGTTTGAAGCCTGAAATGTGGCAAAAGTTTGAAAAGTTCAAGGGGGCCGAATGCTTTCGCAAGGCACTGTACATTGACATTTATGGAAGTATTATTTTGTCCTTGTGCTTTACTTTGCTGTTAGCTGTTTTTAAACTAAGAAGATTTATTACAGGTGTTTCAGCCTATGCTTATGGAGTACTTCACCTATGAAGAGCTAAAGGACATCAAGAAACAGGTGATCGCACAGCACTGCAGCCAGCAGCATTTGAACTGTGCTGCTGAGGTGCTGAAGGGTTTCAGGTTGTGGACGCAGGCAGAGGAACTGCAAAAGGCCTTTAAATATGCTGATCACGAGAAGACAGACTATGGTTCGTATGATTAAACATGTTTGAACTTCCTGTTAAACTAAAAGAGGAGCTTTATGTCCATTGTACCTTAACCAAAGTTCTTGTGCATGTAGATTTTTAGATGAGATATATGATTGTAAAAAAGAGATGCATTTGTTTTACAAAATGTTCAACTGTTTAAGTCATTGATTTCATGAAAGGACATCTCTCCTTTGAAAACTGATTAACGATGTGCATTTTGTTGTTTTGATGTTGTTCGAGTGACTTACAAGGCGAGCCATTTTGTGCTTTCTCTCAGACCTGGAAAAGAGCAGGAATTCTTCCGTCCACATATCCCAGCTTCCTACAGAAATTTTGCTGAGGCTCTTCGGTTACTTGGACCCTGTGGATCTGTGTCGCTGTAGTCAAGTGTGTAGCTCATGGACAGAGCTGGCCAAGAGTGATTCTTTGTGGAGACATCTCTATCCTGTGCGCTGGGCAAGAGGTAAGATATACTTTCAGACAGTCTGGATATTAAATCAATTTAATTTTTCCTAGATGTAGCACAATGTGCATGTATTAAAGACCTTTTTCTACTTGGGCCTTTGTCAAGTTAAAGGAGACAAGCTGATACATTTGTATGAGGTATTTTTGTAGTCTTGTTTGTTTTAGTGAAAATCCAGCTGTGTGTGTAAAGATGGCCAATTGATACACCAGGAGCAGTCGCATCAAAATTATTTCATACATTGTCTCCATAAACTGTGGATATCAGTATGGAAGTGTTTTCCTTCCTTCCTTGGTTTCATAGCTTTTAGAACGTTTACAGTAGTCCCTCGTTTATCGCGGGGGATCCGTACCCTGAAGATCCGTGATAAGTGGAAAAACTGCGAAATAGGAAAAGTAGTACAAGTAGTAAGTAGTAATTTCTTTTAGTATTTTATATATATATATATGTATGTATATACATATATATGTGTATATGTATATATGTGTGTGTATGTGTATATGTATATATGTGTATATGTATATATGTGTGTATATGTGTATGTGTATATATATGTGTATATGTGTATGTGTATATATATGTGTATATGTGTATGTGTATATGTGTATGTGTATATGTGTATGTGTATATATATGTGTATATGTGTATGTGTATATATATGTGTATATGTATATAT